GGGGCGGGGCGGGGCTGCTACAGGTGTGTACAGGTGTGCGTACAGGTGTGCGCACAGGTGTGCGCCGGGGTGTACAGCGGTGTGTGGCGTGCGCGGGTGTGTACAGGGGTGTGTGTACAGGTGTGCGCACAGGTGTGCGTACAGGTGTGTACAAGGGGTATGCAGGTGTGTACAGGGGAGTGCAGACGGGGGGGTGTGTACAGGGGTGCGCACAGGTGTGTACAGGGGTGTGCAGACGGGTGTGTGTGTGTGTACAGGGGTGTGTGTACAGGTGTATGTGCGTATACAGGTGTGTGTGCAGGTATGTGCAGGGGTGTGCAAATAGGCACGTGTGTGTGTACATACAGGTGTGTGTATGTGTACAGGGGTGCGTGAATGGGCGTGTGTGTGTACAGGGGTGCGTGGGTACAGGTGTGTGTGTATGGGTACAGGTGTGTGTGTACAGGGGTGTGTGCACAGGTGTGTGTATGTGTACAGGGGTGTGTATGTGTACAGAAGTGTGGGGACAGGCATGTTTGTGTACAGGTGTGTGCATGTACAGATGTGTACAGGGGTGTGCAGACACGTGTGTGTACAGGGGTGTGTGTACGTACAGGTATGTGTATGTGTACAGGGGTGTATGAATGGGTGTGTGTGTGTGTGCAGGTGTGTGTATGTGTACAGAGGTGTGTGAATGGGTGTGAGTGTGCGTACAGGTGTGTATGTACAGGTGTGTGTATGTGTACACAGGTGTGTGAATGGGAGGATGTACAGGTGTGTGTGTACAGGTGTGTATATGTGTACAGGTGTGTGTATGTGTACAGGGGTGTGTGAATGGGCATGTGTGTGTGTACAGGGGGGTGTGTGTGTACAGGGGGGGTGTATGTGTACAGGGGTGCATGAATGGGCGTGTGTGTGTACAGGTGCATGTACAGGGGTGTGCGCTTTTGCGCACGTGTAGGGCTGTGTGTGTCTGCACAGGGCAGTGTGTGCGGGTGTTTGGGGGGATATACAGGTGCCTGTGCATACAGGTGGGTGCGTGTCCAGGGGTATAGGCGTGGGGGTGTGCAGTCCAGGGAGCTGTAGGGTGACAGATGTGTGTGCAGGCGGCGCAGGGCCGAGCCGGCTGACCTCTCCTGGCACCGGCTCCATCCCCTCGCCCACTCTGAGGCTGCAGGAAAAGTACAGGCGCTTCTCCGAAAACAACCTCGCAGGAGAAACGCCATTTCCAACACCCGATGCGATGAGAGCCGTGTGATTCATTTAATGAAACGGGCAGCTACTTACAGCCGTCACTCCAGCAAAACGCTTTTCACCCCTTCCTCGCGCTCCCACAGGCCCCTTTCCTTCATTAATTTAGAATAATGACACGAGGTCCCAAAGCAAAGCACAGCCTGCTGCCTCTCCCGCGGGCCGGGCACTGTGTCCTCTGGGAGCTTTGCTCCCCCATCCCATCCCATCCCATCCCATCCCATCCCATCCCATCCCATCTCCTCTCCTGCTCCCTGGGAGCATCCACCCTGCACCCAGCAATGCTGGCAATGCTCTGGTCCCCCCCTCATCTCCTCCGAAGCCCGGCAGCCTCGGCATGAGGCTACACCAGCCCGTCGGACTGCAGCATCTCGGGGTGACTCGCCAAGCAGCACGTGCCGGGAGCAGCCAGCCCTGGGGCCAGCCCTGGGGACAGGGATGGCCCTTGGGCCACGCATGCTGCCCTGGGGGGCTGCCTGCAGCCAGGAGGGGAGAGGCAGCCCCATGTGGGTGCAGCCCGTGCCCCCCGGGGAGGTGCAGGGACCCTCATGGGAAGGATGGGTTTTGCTGGGGCTGGTGGGGCCGTGGGTGCACAGCCAGTGACGGCTGGGGCGACTTTGCAGGGAAAAGCTGTAGCAAATGCATTTTTGCTCATGCCGGCTGCTGTCCTGGGGGCAAAGGGAGCTCAGGGCACACCGGGAGCCAAGCCGAGCACCCCGACGCAGGGCAGGCGTAGGGAAGGATGCTGCAGCGAGTGCTGCAAACCCCTGGGCAGGCAGGAGGACCCCATTCACCTCTGGTCCCATGGCAGGATGGGCGTCCCCAACCCCTCAGCAGCAGGGAAAGCTCTGCTGTGCACGGGATGAAGCGCACGGCCGTGGAGGGTCCGGGGAGCCAGACCCCAGCCTCAGAGCATGCCTTCGGCAGCCCTGCAGTTCTTGGCGGGGATGATCTTCCTCTTGCAGGCGAACATCTTGCGGAGTTCCCCACGGAAGCGGTCGTGCAGCCAGGCGTAGAGGAAGGGGTTGCAGCAGGAAGAGCTCATGGCGAACCAGTGGCAGAGCAGCTGGATGAGGAGGAAGTAGTGCTTGTTGATGAGGTTGATGTCGATGTCCCGGATGATGTTGAAGACGTGGATGGGGAGCCAGCAGACCCCAAAGGCCGCCACCACCAGCACAATGAGGCGGAAGATCTTCCTCTTCCTCAGGCGGTCGAACTCGGCTTGGCTCTGCGTGGGGTGGCCAGGCACCACGCGGTTCCTCAGCTTCACCGAGATGCAGATGTAGGAGAGGGAGACGGCGGAGAGGGGCAAGATGTAGGTGACAATCAGGGTGCCATAGGCGTAGGCCAGGCGTTGTGTCTCCTTCTCCATCCAGAACTCCTCGCAGATGGCGAAGCCCTCCTGCTGAAACTCCACGTGGTACGTGTGGGCGATGGCGGGGGCCACCAGCCCGCAGGAGAGCAGCCAGATGCCCCCCACCACGGAGATGCAGCTGGTGACCGAGATGCGCTTCTTCAGGGGGTGCACGGTGGCGTAGTACCTGCAGGGAGAGAAACTGGGGAGCCTGAGCCCCAGACCATTCCCCCACAGCCATCCCGGCCACCCCTGCAGCGCTTCCCGGACACTTAGCGAAGGCAGAAGGGCCGGCACGAGGGGCTGCGGGAGGCAGAGCCCCACCGGCTGCGGGAGCAGCTGCTGGGAAAGGGCTGGCTGGGGACAGGGGGGACAACGGCGTCCCCTTGCCCTGCCATGGGGCCCATGGAAGCACCAGGTCGATTCTGCTGTTTTGGGAAGCGGGGAGCCTGGCAGGGCCAGGCATGGAGCATCCCCCCTGCAGCCTGGCTCTGAACCTGCCTTGAGGACCGCAGGCAGCACTGAGTGAATAACAATAAAAGCCAGCAATTCCTCTTTTACTTCCTCCTCCCCTGAGCATCTTCCACTCCTCTCCACGCTGCCTCATCTTACAGTCAAGGGCTTGCCCTAAGTGAGCTCCTAGCGAGGTATCTTCAGTGACCGTAATTTGATTTTATGCAGCTCCTTCACATACTAAATGCTCTGCCCCCGCGACGGCCCGTGCTGGCTGCTGCTTGGTATTGCGGCGTTTGCTATCGCAACGATTCGTATTGCAACGTTGAATATTGCAATGCTTGGTAGTGCAATGCGCGGCCCCGTTGCCCGTGCAGAGGAAAGCGCCAACAGCCCTTCGGCGCGTGCTTTGCTCGAGGGCTCACACTGAAGTCGAAGACCAGCAGAGCCCCGGCGCGGCCACGTGCTGCCCCGCATCGGAGCTGGAGGATTTGGGCTGAAATCATCCATTTGGGATAAATCCCAATGACATTTGATGAACACGCTGAGGACAGTATGACTTGGTGGCTGCCTCTTTAGCAGGAGAAACATAAGCAAATCGTTTTCACCCAAAAAAAGGGCTTTGTGGAAGAACAAAGGAACAGCGCCAGCCCTCCTGGGGACATCTCAAGCCCGCGGCGAGGGGAGCACGGCTCGGCCAGCAGTCCAGGCTTTCTCAGCTGTTGCGCTCAAATCTTCCCTTTTTATTTTTGCCCTTCCCATCGTGGTCCTGCCTGCTCTCCCCCAGGGGCAGAGGCAAAGCAGCGCGAGAGGCACGAGAGGCACTCCCGGCGCTGCCGTAGGTGCTGCTGGCATCGCACCCTTCCCCGCGGGGTTGCAGCATCTTTTATAAGAAGAGATCTCTGTGGAAACATGGTTTTGATAAACCACGCCACGTCAGCCCCTGCCCGGCTGCATTCAGGGAGGCACAAGTGCTCTCCACCCGGGGGCCAGAACACAGCGTGATTTGGGTGCAAATTTATCCAGCAAAGTATGAATAACTGGGTGCAAACTCCAACAGCCCTTTTGGGAGAGCCGCGCCGGCCGGGAGCACAGAGCTGGCCGCGGACGGTCTGGGTTTCGGTAGGGATGGCTTCATACAGGCAGGCTCGAAACTGCACAACATCGCTTCCCGATGCAAAACAGCAGCCAGCCGAACACCCCCACTACGCTTCCTCCGCCGGAGGCCGAGTCCTGATGCTAACGAAAAGGCTGCAGAGAGACTGCAGAGATCCCCTGGGTTTTTCCTTTTCCAATTTTGAGAGTTCGGCACCTAACACCCTGAGCTGAGCAAGCAGTAGCCTTGGAGGTACTGGGAGGACACATCTGGAGCCCCGCACCACCCATCCCACCAGCGCCTACCTGTCAACCGCGATGGCTGTGAGCGTGAAGACGGAGACGTAGACCGTCATAGGCTGCATCAGGAAGACGAAGTAGCACAAAAACTTCCCGAAAACCCAGCCCTGGGGGTTGAAGGCGTAGGCCAGGGTGAAGGGCACGCACGTGGCGCACATCAGCATGTCGGAGAAAGCCAGGTTCCCAATGAAGAAGTTGGTGACATTGTGCATCTTCTTGGTCTTGCAGATGACATAGAGGAGCAGGTAGTTGCCGAAGATGCCAATGAGGACGACCAGGGTGTAGCAGGGGATGATGAGGGGTTTGAAGGACTGGATGAGCTGCACCCCGGTGAACTGCGCGCTGGCGTTGGAGCCGTTCTGCAGGGCGAGCTTGTAGATGGTGGCGTTGGTCATGTCCCTGTCCCCATCGGGCTCCATGGCTGTGGCTGAGACCCAAGAAACCCCTTGTTTCACCCAGCCTCAGCACCCCAAAATCTGTCGGTTGCAGGTTTCAGGTGTCCGTGAGGTGTATCCTGCTCCTCATCACAGCTTTGCTGTGGCTGTCCTCCCCCGCAGCGGTGCAGGATCCTGCCCCGCACCCGGCGAGGCTCCTTGGGACAGCGGCTTCCTCCTGTAGGCTCCTGGGGAGGGAAATGGGAAATCAGGCTCGGAAAAGGGGTGATGCCGGCGAGCAGCCTGGCGTCGGGAGGGAGAGACAGCCCCGGGCTCAGCAGCAGTCACGGCTCAGGGGGGAAGAGGAGAAGGAGAAAAGCAGTGGGGATGACCGTGGGCTCAGGGGAAGGACTTACCAAAATCTGGCCTCATCAACACCCTTTTAAACGAAGCGTTTCCCCCCCTCCCGGCCTCCCCCCCAGCCCAGCCAGCATGGAGGGGCAGCTGCTGGCAGGAGGAAAAGGGAAGCGGCAGCTGAGCCAGAAAATAGCTCCTAATGTTTCTGGAAATAACAAAAGACGTTAATGGATAAACAAATAAAGATGCTCTGCTACTTCTGCACTGCCTCGAAGCCTCGTGCGCCTGCACCCTGCTCATCCATCCCCCTAACAAGATTAACCAGGCTCTCCCCAAACGCTAACTCTGGCAGCAGCCAGCCTGAGTTTCATTGCTGCTCCAATTCAGGGGGCTCAGCCGAGGTATTTTCACAGACCCCGGCACGGTCCTGCCGAAAGCAACGTTTTCATGTAATCAGCTGTGAAGGGAATGGGACGGAGGGCAAGGAGGAAATTCAGGGGCAAAAATTAGATTGGTCTTGGCAGACAGGTCCCTGCTGACCCGGGCTGCCTCCCGTAGGCAGCTGGGTCCTGCCAGAAGCCCCTTGCCTGCAGCCGGCCTCGGTGGAGCGCAGGCAGCACCTTTCCCATGCCCGGCACGCAGTGCTCGCTGCCAGACCCCCGGGACCCCCTGCCCGCTGCAGCCCTCTCTCCTGGGCTGCTCCCACGTCCCCTGCCTCCCTCCTGCCCACTGAATCATCTCACCACCCGCTGCAGTCCAACTTTAATTTCCTGGGCTATTTCCATGTATTATCTCCCACTCTTTTCCAGCGCAGGACTTGCCACCCTGTTTATTTCTCCCTGTACTAGCCGTTATTTCACCCTTAAGCCCTCACGTACCTGATCTAGTAAGACCGAAACCCAGCCAGCAGATTTTGGAAGTCCCCAGGGGAACCCAATGGAGAGCTGCACCCAGCCACAGTTTTGTGACGCATCTCAGCAGCCCCCCAAAAGCTCCACAGCCTGAATTTGCATTAACTGGGTTTTTAGATCAGCTTCCACGCACCCTGCCTGCTTCACCCCACGCGTTTGCGAGGCACCCCACCTTAAAGGATGCACTTGGAGACAGAAGAGGCGTTTCAGAATAAAGCCCCTCTTATCAAACATTTACTGCTGAATCCAAAGCCGTGCAACCGCCTCCCCCCGCAGCCAGCCCCGCGCCGCTCTTTGTTCTGCTCGGGGAGGGATTTTGCCAGCTGAGCATCAGCAGGTAAAAATCCCCCTGTAAATAAATTACCGCGTGCGGAAGCCCCCTCCTGAGATACATCCTCAGCCCCGCACGCGTCCCCAAACCAAGGGCTGCTTTTCCAAATGAAGCACTTGCAGCGAAGAATTAAGTTGTGCCGCCCAGCAGCGGTTAAAGGCAGCCGCCTTCCTGCCAGCTGGGCAGGCTCCTGCTCGGGAGCTGCAGGGGGGAGCGGACCCCCCGGCCGGCTCGGCCACGCACCCCATCTGCCTGCTGTGCCATCCCTGCTGCTGGAGCGGGGACGGATCCGGCCCTCCCAACGAGGAGGGGGACCAGGGCAAAATAATCTCAGCTGGGGCAAGTTTGATTTATTTTCATTTATACAATTAACACAAGCTTCTCATCCTTGGTGTGGGTATTGAGACAGCAGAAAATGTAAATAATTAAAAGGTATTTGGGGAAATGCCCCCCCCCCATCCCCAGGCCTCCTCCTGCCCATTCTGCTCAACACTGGACTCCTGAGTAATGGGGGGTTCATACCAGAGCCAGCTGGGCACGCACCCGCACCAACCGGGCACCCAAGGACATTAACAGGGTGCTCAGGTTTGCACTATTTAACCCCTCATGCAATTAGGTGGGTACTCACGGGTGAACTGATGTGGTGCTCATGCATGAAATAATTGGCCACTTATGCAGAAAATAAATGGGTATTCCTGCATTTATTAATCAGGTGCTCATGGAAAAAGGCAGGAGAGGCTGCGACTTGTGCCCGGTGGAGGTGTGGGGCCACCCCTGAGCAGGGGAAGGCACAAACATTTCTGCACGGGTAAAGCCTGGGGCGTACAGGTCTCATATGACTCCCCTAGGCTTTAGGGTGTGAGTGTGAACATCTGGAGGACAGGCACACAGCTGGAGCTGCACAGCACCGGGTGCCCAGCAAAGCCATCCCAAAACAGCTCCCAGCCTTGCCAGGCTGCGATGCCGCGAGCGCTCGGGGCTGTCCCATGGCTGAGCCCAGGACTGTTGTGCCCATCGCCCTCTGCAAAGGCCATAAACTCCCAGGGAACAAGTTAGCCCAAAAGAAATCTCTGAAGCAACTTTTAGCCTAACAGGAGCATCTTCTGCATTAAAATGTCATTCTCGCACCCCCCTTCTCTGCCAGAACTCTGCTCAGTTATAGAACCATAGAATGGTTTGGGTTGGAAGGGACCACCTAGTTCCAACCCCCTGCCACGGGCAGGGACACCTTCCACCAGCCCAGGTTGCTCGAAGCCCCATCCGTTGTGCCCATCGCCCTCTGCAAAGGCCATAAACTCCCAGGGAACAAGTTAGCCCAAAAGAAATCTCTGAAGCAACTTTTAGCCTAACAGGAGCATCTTCTGCATTAAAATGTCATTCTCGCACCCCCCTTCTCTGCCAGAACTCTGCTCAGTTATAGAACCATAGAATGGTTTGGGTTGGAAGGGACCACCTAGTTCCAACCCCCTGCCACGGGCAGGGACACCTTCCACCAGCCCAGGTTGCTCAAAGCCCCATCCAACCTGGCCCTGAACGCTTCCAGGGATGGGGCATCCATAACTTCTCTGGGCAGCCTGTGCCAGTGCCTCACCACCCTGAGTGAAGAATTTCTTCCTTAGATCTAATCTAAATCTACCCTCCTTCAGTTTAAAGCCGTTACCCCTTGTCCTATCACTGTGTGCCCTTGTAAAAAGTCCCTCTCCAGCTTTCTTGTAGGCCCCCTTCAGCTACTGGAAGGCTGCTATAAGGTCTCCCCGGAGCCTTCTCTTCTCCAGGGTGAACAACCCCAACTCTTTATTCCCCAAAGAAAATCTTTAAGCCCCCAGGCACTGAGAGTCCTGCTTTTGTGGTGCAGGCTGGCTTCCATCCTGCACGTGAATGCTACGAGGAGCTCGGGGCTCCCTCGCAGCCGGGTCGTCCTTGCCGCAGGGGGAACGGAGCCCATTTTGGTGCTGGCTGGGCGGACCCAGCACCAGCCGCACACAGTGCGCCCAGGGGCCGCGTCCTGCGCTGGGGCCCTCCACAGCCGGCTGGGCAGGCGCGCAGCCCCACACGCTCTGTTTGTGCCTGTTTTGTCTCCATGACATTGAGACTCCTCTATTAATTACCTGGCAGTTGCCATGGTTATGCCAAAGCCCTCCAGGAGATGCTGCTGTACAGGATGCCGGACCGGGCGAGTGTGCCGCTGCCAGGGGCTGCGGGAAGGGGGACAGAGCATCTCCCCAGGCTTCCACCCTTCCCGCAGCCGGGACTACGCCAGCTCCAGCCCACAGCCTGTGGCTCTCCAGGCTCCCGTGCTGCATTTGCAGCCGGGGCTGTGCATGCTGTCCCACAGACCAGGCTCCAGCAAGGGGCTTGTGGCTCGCATGGGGTGACAGCTCTGTCCCTGTGCACCCACTGGCAAGCACCCAGGAGTTAGTCCTTGCATGCAGGGGGGGGTCCCACCACTCTCAGGAAGGCACCAGCAAGTCAGCCGGCACCACGGCAGCTGCTTGTGCACTTCGCTGCTGGGCGCTTCCCTGACATGCGCTGGGAGTTGAAGAGGCCACCATGCAAATTCACTAGCACTGACCTTAGTCTGCTTTCTGTTTCTTTTCTTCCTGGATTTCTTTATAGGGCTTAATCTGCACTCAGCGAGATGTCTTAATGGAGCTGCGGGCTCACACCGAGCGGCCAGCATTCAGCAAGCTTTCCAATTAACAGCATGTTTCATTCCCGCCTGAGGAATTAGGAGCAATGAATTCATCAGCCTTTATTCCTGCTCCTTCATGGCTGGCACCCCTGCCTGTGCCCAGCAGCTCCGGAGCACCGCTGGGACAGGCAGCGGGTGGGCTGCATCACCCCCACGCTCACGCATGACCCTCTGGCCCCCATGGGGCACCTTCAACCCCAGCGACAGGGTGCAAGGGAGAACAGAGACAGGTCCTGGAGCTGATCCCAGTGGGGAAAAAAATCAGCCAGAATCACTTATTTCTATGAGAAATGCAACGGTTGTGGCTCTGATGCTCTCTCCAGAAGCAGCACACAGAGTCTTGTGCGCTGGGAGCAAGGCAAGGGCAAAGAAAAGCAGGATGAGTTAATTGCTCGTTATAGCTTTCTCTTCCCCTCCTCTCCCCCCTCTCTCACCTCCAGCGCTCGGGGCTGTGCGCAGCGGTGGCTTTCTGCTCCCCAGCCCAGGGCACATTTCACACCCACGCGCGGGGACGGGGCTCAGGGCGCACACTTGCCTTGCAGGAGGTGATGCCCAAGAAAGCCCTTCCCAGGGCGAAGGCTGCGTGCGATGACCCTGCGATCCTGTCCCCTTGTGTCCCCGAGCCTGGGGCCGGGCACAGCCCACGCTGGGGCTGACGCGCTGCCAGGCTGCAGCCCATCAGGGCTGGCAGCTGGTTTCACCCAGGCCCATCTCCAGCCTCTCCCAAACCATTACAGCGTGACGACAGCAATCTTCCCTCTGCGCGCCGATCGGCTCTCATCTCTGTAGCTTTTTCTATTATAAGTGGGGAAAATAAAAAAAAAATAAAAAAAATAAAAAAACGACCTGTGTGCTTCCTTCCCAGCCCACCCCACCTGCACATTCAGGGCTCCTCTTTAAAGTCAACCTTGCTGCCAGCTAATATCATGCATATAATGGATTTGGGCAATTTTTTCAATTAGGAGTTTTAATTATATTATTTCAGTGGCTGCTTGTTCTGGGCGGCTTTTGGCTGTGTTTCCTGGACTGCCATGAAGACGGCAACGCAACTTTGTCCTGTTGATCCAAACAGGCGATGGTCAGAGCGATTCCTACCAGAACAAAAGGACCATTAGAAGGGAGCGTGCGGGATAATTGGTGCCAGGGCTGCGCAGGGGGGACACGAGCACCTCGGCCTCAGAGCATCATCTCCTCCCTTAGAAGGGGTGGCTGAGCTTACGTGGATACGCAAGCCCCGAGGCAGAGCGTGGTGCAGCCTTCCTCCTCCAGACACGCTGGGGCTGGGAGAGCCCCTGAGCCCCTGTCCCGGCAGCGGGTAGGGCAGGGCAGCAGGCAGGGGAGCAGGCAGCAGCAGCCCGCAGCTCCCCAGGGGCTGCTCGCTGAGATCCCTGGCCCCCCAGACCCATGGGTTAGCAGCACGACCCATGGCACCACAGTAATCGCACACGGAATAACTTTTCCCGAGAGGAGGCAGGGAGCCGCCGGTAGCAGCGAGGACAGGACAGCAGGCGAGAGCAGGCTGGCACGGGACCACCAGAGCACAGTCCAGACCAGCTCCGGGGTATTTGCACTTTCCCATTGTTATTGCAATAAAAGAGGAAAAAAGAGCATTTCTGGGAGCACGGTAGGAATGGAGAGGGCAGGAAGAAGAGACAAGGGATGATATCCAAAGCCCAGGCAGTTTGAGTCCCCCTGCAAAGATCTGTCCCGTTCAAGGATCATCCCAGCGCAGGGTGTCCCCACCATCACGCCAGCTCCACTCCCAGAGCTGCGAAGTCTTCTCTGAGCTGCAGCTATTCTACGATGCTCTAGCATCATCCTCATCACCTATGTCTTCCTCCGAGAGCTCTTCCTCGTGGGCTTCGTACTTGGCATCATCTTCCACTGAGAAGAGGAGATGCAGGGCTGCAGCGGGAGGGGGAGGCGAAACCCCCCGGCTGCAAACACAGCCAGCAATCCCACCCCACGCCGGGACTGGGAACACGGACGCCATCCCACCCCACGGCAGCAAAGGCAGAGCGGAGAGCCGGCACAGACCACTGTGTCGAGCCCACGAATGCAAACAAGCCCTAAGCCCCAGCGCAGACCAGCGATCCCTCCGTCCCCGGGGCAAAGCAGCCCTGTCGAGGGCACCAGCTGCCACTAAAGCCACCGTGGGACCCAGAAGCATCCCCAGCGCAGCCCCCAGCCCACACGCTCGCCCTGGCCCTGCAGCCCAGTGCACTCACGGGTGACGTGCTGCCCGCTGAGATAGACCGGTCCAGCTCCACACTTGAGCACAAAGGTGACGGGAGGGACCAGCTCCAGACCTTTGAGGCTGATCTGCAAAGAGTCAGAGCTCAGAGCCCCCTGAGCCCAGCCCGGGTGGGCAGCAGCCCACATTAATCCCTGCAGCACCATCACAGCACGAGCAGCTCCTCTGCACCAGGGAGGGGTTCGCAAGCAGTCGGATGGACACGGCCAGAGTGGGAAGGAGCCCCCAGTGTTGCCCAGAACCTTGACCACAGCTCAGTGGAGACCAGGCTCTTGGGGTGAAATTACTGCCCCGCAGCCAGGTGCTGCATGCCAGGCATTTGGCTGCCCTTACCATGGGGAGCACCGAGGTCCGCAGCGCCGCAATGGGCACTGGCTTGTGGTCTCCATAGGTGTTTTTGGAATCAACGGCCACCACGTGCAGCTCATCCCTGGCCTCGGCCCCCAGGCAGATCTGCAGAGCCAAGCAGAGACCCCATGGCAGGGAGCCCGACTGTCAGCCGGCCCCGCTGCTGGGGCGCAGGCTTGCTGCGGCAGGCTCTTTGGCAAGCCTCGGATCTCACCGTTCTCAGCAAGACCAGGTGCTCCAAGAAGTCATCATCCTCCTTCACCACGCAGCTCCGGGTGCCCGTGTTCAGCTGGCAGCCTGCGGGGACACAGCATCATCTGTGCACGCATGTGCTGCTCCCCCTGCGCAAGCCTCGGGTGAGCCAAAAGCAAAGGGGAGGCTTTCCTGGGTGCCACACCATGAGAAAGGGGGAAAACACACCCTGCGCACACACACCCCAGCTGCCCGCAGGGCACAGCCGCTGTCCCCCAACTCCCTCCGGCCACCAGGTCCCACCAAGCCAGCCTGGGGCGTGCAGCTCCGTACCCCACAGGGCAGCAATGGGCCTCTCCTCCGACAGCAACCTGGAGAAGGGAGAGCTGCTCATCCTCCACAGCGGATCCAACACTGGCAGCAGGAACCAGCTCCTGTAGAACAAACCCCAGAGAAAACAGTGCTTGGCTGCTCTGCAGCAGCAACACGCAGAAGAAACATGACTTAGGAGCACCGAGAGCAAACTCTCCAGTCCCAAAAGCCCAGAGCTGGAACAGCAGCACACAGCAGCTCACACCAGGACAGCAGTTGGACCAGCTTTCCCTGGGCAGGATAGCATTGCTAAGTGAAGAATAAAACCACCTAGCTACTTCGACATCCCCTGGGGACAGGAAAGGCCAGCTACATGCATTTACAGACAAAACCAGCTCTAAGAGGAGAGCAGCCTCTGCAACAGGGAAGCACCATAAGCAAAGGTAGCACAGGACACTTGGTGCACCCTCCCAGCCCAGAGCAATTTTGGCTAACCAGAGCAGCTAAAGCCTTGGGGAAGCATTTAGAGAGCACTTGGAGGCCTCTAAATGCCACACAAGCATCAAGCACTTTGCCAGCATTGGTGTTTAACCCAGCAGCACAACCCAGCACGGGAACTGGGGTGTCAGAGGGGGCTGCCCCCTGCCCAGCAGCAGCCCCAGGGGACCGCAAGACACATCCCTCCCCGCATGCTGCCCAGCAGCCCGTACCCAGCCAGGGAGAGCAGCACCAAGAAGAAGGAACACCAACACCTGGCACCTGCTGCTAATAAAGCAAAGGGGGATCCCGAGGGAGGTGCAGTTTGGGAATGCAGCACAGGTGCTTCGGGAGGGCAGGAGGCTCCCCCCAGCTGGCACCAATGCACCCACCACCCCTCGTCACCGCACACCCCCCAGGAGGACCTACAGCAAACAATCAAGCTTGAAGGCAGAAGCAGCTCCACTTGAGCAAACTTTAGCTTGAGGGGAGACAAGGACACCAGCCCTGGGAGTGGGACATGCAGGGACCTGGGGCCCCCCGTTCCCTGGGACAGCCCTGCTTCACCCCCTGCCCGGGGTTTGCCTGTGGTTTGGGAAGTTCTTCATTAACACAGTGGCTCCTGGGGGGCTAAAGAGCAGCTCCCGGGCTGGTGTTGGCCTGTGTCCCCTCAGCGGGTCACTGAGGGTACCCCAGGGACGGTGAGGCCATGGCGGGGCTGGGGGACACACAGGACCTGCTCGTGCTTGGGGTCAGCTGCAGGGATCAGAGACCACCCCCCAAGAGCCATTAGAGCCACCAAACCGACATCTGATGTTGTAAAATGGAAACAGTCACCAAGAGCTGCATTTTTCTCTTTATTTAGTGATTTCATCCTTGCTGGGTATTAACAGCAAAATGCGCCAAGGGAGGATCCTGGCAGAGGAGACCCCAAGCACTCCAATCCCTGGGGCTGCAGCCGGACCCCGCAGGCTCCATGGGGGAGCTGGGATTTCCCCAGCACCAGGAGGTGGCACTGGGCACCTCTGCACAGGCTCCTGGGGAGGGACGGGGTGGCCGGGACAAGTTGGGGGGCTGCAGGTGTGTGGGGTGCCCCAATGCTCCGGGCATCATCCCAGCCCAGGGCCCTCTGCCTCTCCCAAGCAAATGCTCACACTGGTAAAAAACTCCTGATTTATGGCGGGATGGAGGTGCCAGCATTGCCAGGCTGCTGCCCTTTCAGGGTGCAGGGAGATGTGGCAGGGCTGGGGGCTGGCACCGTGGCACCCCCAGAGCACAGCTTTTCCCTGCCTGCCCGGTCCCTGCCAGCCACAGCCCCGGGAGCCCGGGCTGGGGACGGACGCCCGAGCCTCGGGCAGCCCCTCGGGAAGGGCACGTGGAAGAAACATCCCTCTGCTCGGCACAGATTCGAAGGCATCACACAGTTTCGAAGGTTTATTTCACACAGAAGGTGGGGGGAGACAAAACAGGACAAAAACTTTACAGTCACCGCGACATATTTACAACCAACATCATCCCCAAAAGTCACCGTGCGGCAGCGTGGCGTGGGCACAGCCAGGAAGGCGAGCACCCGTCTGTACACACACCCCGAGCTCTGCTCACACCGCAGTGTGCACGGAGGAGCTGGACTGGCCCTGTCGCCGCTTCCCACCATGCTGGCAGCACAAATTGGTTTTAAAGCTAGAGTTTATCACCTCCCTGCCCTCACCCCACTGCCCCACGTACCCAGCCCAGCGTGCAGGGGCCTCGGGATGAAAACCACCCCCCTACAATGCTCTCCACATCTGACCCCGCTGCTGCTCCTCCAGCTTCATCTGAATAACCCCCCCATCCCTGAACGGCACGGAAACATGGACATCTGCCCCGAATGGAGAAGGAGAAACAGGAGGAGATTTGACAAGAGCATAATTCACATTTTGTGCCCAGTCCCCCCTGCTTGGAGCTCCCCTCACTCCCCTGTGCTTTTCCTTTGCTAAAGGTATCGCTGCGGCTCCCGGGATCGCACCCAGCCCTGGGAATGCAGCAGCTGGGGCAGGGATGGAGTGGAGATCCTGGAAAGGGCTCGTGCTTGCAGGAGGCTCTTCTCCCTTCCCTGACAGGCTGTCCAAAACCTGGCCGAGCCCAGGACAATGGGGTCCTTTGGGAAAGCGGAGCTGCTGCCCACCGCATCCCGATGCCAGCTGCGCCAGGAAGCACCCCTGGGGTGGGAGCTCGCCTCCCGCCTGCACCGGGAGCACAAGCACGTCCCTGAGGCTGCGCTCCCTCTTGGCGAGCGGCTCGGGAGCTTTCTCCCAGCTGACTCCGGCTCTCCAGCACCAACAGCACGGAGGAGCCGGCTCTTCGGGCCCTGCTGTGACCACAAGCGCTCCTGAGGGAGAGCCCCTCTCCTCTCTGGGTCGGTGCCTGCACTGGAGGGTCCTTCCAGCGCCATTGCCCCCAGCGCCACTCCTCCGTCCCCTTCGCAATGCCCAGCCCTGCAAGAAGAGGGTGGGACGTGATGCAGCATCACCCACCGGGCTCAACCCTCGCAGCTGCATAGAGCCAGGGACAGGGACCCAAAGCCCCAGGAGAAAGGGGAGCGGCGTGCACGGAGGGGGATCCAGGACTGGAGCTGGGCAAAAAGTAAGGTCTGGAGCTCCAGCAGCCTGTAAGCCAACGTGGCAGAGACAGCCACCCCGACGGGGGTTAAAGCATCCCGGGGCAGGCAGGGAGGTGTCAGCAGACGGCTGGGCTGACGCCAGGCTCACGTGCCCCGAAAGCGGGCAGCTCCTGCGGGCTGGCCAAAGGCTGCGCTCCCCCAGGGAAGGCAGCGGCCAAAGCGGGCAGAGGAGATGCTGCAAGGGACGATCGCCCCAACCCCGCCACAGCGCCGGCCGAGGGGGAAGCACACTCACTCTCTTCCCGGCTCTGGACTGCTCGCAGTCAGATGGAAGGACCCGCTGGCGTCTCTCTGCCGGCAAACCTTAAAGAGCAGAGCACAGTGCGTGAAGAGCCCAGACCTTTCCCATGATTTACGGTCCCGTGTTCCTAGGATAGGTGAATCCTTCCTCAAAACATGGGACTTCAGGAAACACTTTCTGGCACCTCTTTCTGCACACCTCTGCCGACAGCAGCTCTGCCTGGGCGTGCTGGCAGGAACCTCTCCTGCCTTCGGGCGTCAGGAGGGGTTTCGGACCAGAGAAAGCTGGGTAAAATCCACATTAATCAGAATAATTCAAATTTTGTCATACTAATAAAAAACTCAGGGGGGAAAAACACACCCTGTAATTTGCAGAAGGAGGTGTAAATCCGTGTAAGGGCAGAGGCAGCAGGCTGGTGGGGCAGAGCCGCGGCACAAGCGTCCCTGCCAGCCCTCTGCCCTGACACTGGGCTGCCGGCTCTGGGAAGCCCATCTCTGACCACAGGGCTGATGGCAGCGAGGGACAGAGAGCGATGAAATAAATTTTCTTCCCAGAATTACACCCTGTCAGAGGACAAAGTGACCCACAGAACCCAGGCTGGCAACAGCAGCCCCCCGGCTGCCTCACCGCGGAGGGTCTCCCTGCGTTTTCCTTCTTTAACAGCAGAAAGTAGGAGCAGGGGGAGAAGGGGGGGGAATCCCAGGCTTTGGGACACGTTCATGTTGGGCTCATTTGCTTCCCTATTCACCACCAGCGTTTTCTTTACCCAGGAACCGCAGACCCCGTCCTGGCAGGCTGGGGTGTTCCCAAGGAAGGGACAAGGTGGGACTGGGCTGGGACCCCAGGGGCCGGGGTTTTAGGGCAGCCTAAAGGCAGAGGGCAGAGGTTCCCAGCCCCGCACCCCAGCGCCTCTCCCATGCACCCCAGGCACTGCCTGCCCTCTGGCTCCGCGCTGTGCCGTCAGACCATGGCCCCGCCATCGACAGCCCCCCCGGGTCGCACCCCAAAGGGCTGGTCCCCCACAGCCCCAAAAGTGAGCACCTGCAGGTACCTACTCATCAAGCTGTGAGCACAGCGTGGTTTGGGTGCCCTGCGGCCGGGACTCGCCCAGGGGCCGTGGCCGGTGGCGCCCGGGCGCCTCCTCCTGCCGCTTCCCCGAGCCTCGCCGTCCTCCCCGGGGCACCCAGGGGCTGCCGCTTTGCTGTCCTCCGAGGAACCCCCCCGGGGGCTGAAGGCACAGGGGCAGCGTTGCAGGTCCTGCGAGACGGCGTGGAGCCGGCGGTCGGCACGGCGCGGGCAGCAGAGCAGCTTGCGGAAGGCGCTCCTGAAGTCGGGGCTGCGGCAGTAGATGATGGGGTTGAAGGCTGAGTTGACGTAGCCCAGCCAGTTGAGGAAGAGGAAGAGCTGATCCGGCACCAGCGGCCGGTAGAAGACCTTGATGATGTTGGCCACAAAGAAGGGCAGCCAGCAGAGCGTGAAGGTGCCCATGATGATGCCCAGGGTCTTGAGCGCCTTGTGCTCCTTGATGGCCAGCAGACGGGAGGGCCGTCTCCGCCGGCCGCTCCTGGAGCTGGGGCTGGGGGGCTCCTGCAGGAACCTCACCTTGTCCTTGCCGATGAGCTGGACGTGCCGCGTGGCCACAGCAAAGACGCGGACGTAGACGAAGATCATGACGAGCAGGGGCACGTAGAAGGAGATGGTGGAG